AACACACAAGCTTTCATTTGATTTATATTGATTTTAATGCATGTAGAAACAAAATATTCGTTACGATTTTCAACACTTAGAAAAATTAAAAAAAATGTTTTTAAAATTTGGTGCAAGTTGAATAAAATCTAATCAGAAATTAAGCAAAACTGCTTAAAAATAGATGTTGTTTTTTTTCTGAAGGGAAACTACAATGGCCTACTAACCTGTTCTTGTATGATTTTGCGGACTCTCTGGACGTCACCCTGCTGCGAGGCATACATGAGGGTCGAAACGCCTCGTTTAGTGGTGCGTCGATGTTTAGTGTTTCGAGCCCCCGTTGCTGTTACGGCCTCCGACGCCGCACTAGTCATTTTAAGGCGTCGGAACGCCAAACTTCACCCCACCAACGTCGTCATCGCCACACCACATGATGCACTAAAAAACCCAGACGTCGTCCTTGACATAGCACTTCCATATAATAAATGCAACCCCAGAAAAGTATCACTCTCCTCTCTGTACGTGTTACGTCATTATAACATTTACAATCGATTTGAGTGTATACAGTATAACAACTTTTTAATTACTGCATCTCCAAAAGAAAACCCCCGTAGACCCCATTTTTATGATTTATTTCCGAAATAACTGCACACAATTCACTCTCGGCAATTAAACTGGCACCCCTGCAATAACTCCAAGCACCTGTCATGGCAGTTATGTGCATAAAACAAAAAAACTTTCGAATTCGCTTTACGTGCAAAAGCTTCATGACATAAAGTAGGCGTCGATTATATGAAAGTGGAGACGACATGGCACGCGATTACCATCAGAGTACAAGAGAAAATGCAAGAGTTTATCACAAAAATTGTCGATCGTGTTTGACATCAGAGCTTTGTATCAACAGCAGAGCTCTCACTTTAGGTTTATTGCTTTGTCTTCACTCTTTTGTGCACGCGACGAGTTGTGTAAATGCATTTCGAAGCGAAATGGAAAAGGGTGACCCATTTCTAGGTCAGACGGTGGTCAGGGTTGCTAAATTATATACCCCCAGTAATGAGGCAATAATGATTATTCGGATTTTTATGTCTCGGTGGGGTGTAATCAAGGAGTTGATATTTGCATGATGTGTGTAGTGTTCCACTTGGAGGGGTCCTAAATATGGAAATATTGAGGGTCAGTTGGAACAAAAATAAAAACAAAGGTTGGGTCCTCATTTGGAACAAAATTTTATTTTATATTTATAGCGATTGATATTATTATCCCAATTTTCTAAATTTTCTAGATATTTGATCGAAAAAACAATCAGGGTATCAACCCGAATATCAATCAAAAAAGACACTCATATCAAATCAATTAAGATAAGAATAGATTTTCAAGGTTAAAACTCCACTAATACTTATGTCTACATAAACCTTTTTTTTAAAGAGTAATTGAAAAAACGAAATGCGTAAGTAATGACACTTATGTATTAACAATTACGATCGTCATCAATAAAGGACCTCGAACTTGTCCAACTACAATTGTCCAATAAAAACATATTATACATACCAGGTACAGGTATTTACATTTCAAAAATTTTAAACACTTTTTTGGTGTCAACTCTGTGCTCTAATTGTGTCAGGTGAACAAATGAAAATCAATACACTTAATTTAGATTAATTTTTGAATTAATATTTAATTCCAATAAATAAACACTTAATTACTTTAATCCATTTTAATGGAAAAATAATTTTTAGTCATAAATTAAATTAAAAAAAAATCATCTAAGTCATACCTTGTATATTTCTACATCGTTTGGGGTAGTGTTAAAAATGGGGTAACATAAACACGCACAACAACATGAAAACAACGTGAATAACTGACACTGGTTGTATATACTTTTGTAGGGGTTGTTATAGCAACCTTTAGAGTCTTTTGCGCACTTGCGCTAGAATTTATTTGATTAAAAAAAAAACTTTTTTTAATTGAGATATTTTACACTTGACATAAAGTATACTAATAATTCATTACAAGCAATTTATTTAATAAATATTAAATGAATAGTTAAGTTTGAGGTTGTGGTATCACTCACATAAGACGAGGTGGCCGAGTGGTTAAGGCGTTGGACTGCTAATCCAATGGGCTCTGCCCGCGTGGGTTCGAATCCCATCCTCGTCGGTACTTTTTTTATTTCCAATTGTTAATTTTTAGTTATATAAATTACATCATCCAAGTAAAATATTTTAAAGCATACAATAATAGAGCTGGCGCTTTATATCAATCAATTAATTTATTAGTAGTATTTAATTACACTGATTTTAGAATATTGCTTCTCCTAAAGTTTCAGTACCAACAAACTATTTATAACTAAGTATAAGTACTGGGTAATTTAATTACATAGTACATGTTATGTAGTTAGAAAAAAAAACACATTTCAAAATTACAGGGCGATTCAGATAAGATAATGAGCCTGACGATCTGGCGATGCAACCCAAAAAACAAATTTCATTTACGCCTTTGATCCAATTTCAATTAGCATTTGCAAGTTGAATCCAAGTTATCATCTTGTGTCACTTTGACATCAGTGCAGAGAACGATTATTAGTGCCATTCAGTTCTCGAATAATGATAGAGAAATTAGGGAAGTCTTTTCGGTGTAAACCCAATACAAAATGTATGAAAGAATTAAACATTAAAGGTAGGCAAACGGTTTTTTTTATAAATCATAAATTGCTTGTCAAAGCACTGTCAGAGCAACATAAGATAACTTGGATTGCAAATGCAAATCGTAATTAAAATTAGATCAAAACGTAAACGAAATTTGTTTTTTGGGTTGCATCGCCAGATCGTCAGGCTCATTATCTTATCTGAATCGCCCTGTATTTAAAATGTTTTGTATAATATAATTTTTTTATTCTTCGACGCTGTCAAAATTTACGGGTTTTCTCCCGTGTAAGGAAGTTTTGACAACTGTTTGGCATTTCTCAATACAAAACGTCAAATTATTTTTAACAGATTAAAAGCAAGTTTAAGCCTTGTTGACTCTAATTCGAAGAATAAAATGTTGTATTCCACTCGTTTGAGTGTAAATCGGACGCTTTATTCCACCTCGTGGATGGTAAACCACTCGTTACACTCGTGGTTTAAAAATCCACTCGGTCAAATAAAGAGTCCGATTTACACTCAAACTCGTCAAATAAATAACTATTATTTTTGTTATATTGCATAATTTTGAAAAATAATTAATAAATTTCTTTGTTAAAACTAAAATGTAAAGCCAATTTCATAATAGAATTTAAAGGAGCTTTAAATTAATGTCGTTTAGAATGTGCTGATTACTACAGACTTGTTGACAAAAATTTCACTTCCTAAACCAACATTAATTTTAATAGATATTTATACACTAAGTGAGTTAAATGAATGTTTATTCAAGAGAAGAAAGTTTAGCTCAAGAGCGCGTAGCGCGAGTGAGCTAATTCTTCAAGTGAATAAACATTCATTTAACTCACGTAGTTTATACAATATTTTATTCAATTTTGCGAGACTCAGCTTCAATTTACGGATTATTACGAATTTATGCAAAATACGACAACAAAAATCAAGTCTGTGAAGTCGTGGTTGGTACGTTGTTGTGGTAACACCTCCCTAGCAACCATTTTGGTATAAACAATTATTTTAATGTGAATCATTTTCGTGAAAAATGTCGAAGTCAGAAATATGCGACGATAACCATATTTTTGTTCCAGAAGATGTAATGAACGAAGCACTAGAAGCAGTAGGCAAAGTAGTACCAGTAAAATCCAAAATATTATATGAAAAAGAGTATAATTGTTTTTGTAATTGGAGAAATATAAAGAACGCCCGAGGAGTCGACGAGAAGATAATTTTGGCGTATATTTCGGAGCGATCAAAAACTGTAAAATCGTCTTCATTGTGGTCATACCACTCACAGCTGAAGAAAATGTTATTGGTTAAGGAAAATGTTGATATAAACAGGTTTGTGGATGTTTAACTATAGAATTTGTGCTAAATTAATGTTTGTAGATTCCATCAAGTAAAAGCATTTTTGAAGCAGCATTCTGTAGGACACAGGGCAAAGAAGTCGAAGGTTTTTACAGGGGAAGAACTTGAAAGGTTTCTGGATACTGCTCCTGACGATAAATTTTTGTTGTTAAAAGTAAGTAATAGATCAGATTTTTTTAAATGACGATAATAACAAGATTTATTATTGTAGGTTGTCTTTATCATGGGTGTTGCTGGGGGGTGCAGAATTGGAGAGCTGGTGAGCATGTCTGTTGATGATATTGACGACAGGGGAAACGTACTAGTCGTCCAGATTCCAGACACAAAAACATACAAGCCACGGGTTTTTACTGTTGTTGATGGTGCTAACCGCGTCCATTCAATTGACGTGTTTCGCAAGTACAAGGATTTAAGGCCAGAAAAAGTTACTCATAAGCGTTTGTTTTTGAATTACCAAAATCAAAAATGTACCGTGCAGCCTGTGGGTTTGAACACTTTCGCAAAGATGCCACAAAAAATTGCTGGATTTCTGGGTCTTTCGAATGCAGAACAATATACAGGACACAGTTTTCGACGTTCGTCAGCAACACTTCTTGCTGACGCTGGCGCTGACTTGACTGTATTAAAGAGACACGGCGGATGGCGCTCAAATTCAGTTGCGGAGGGATACATCGAGGATTCGCTTGCAAATAAAATTGAAATTTCAAAGAAAATTCTTGGAAAAAATAAAAGTGAAGTATGCGATGGAGCTTCTGGCGTTACAGTGGAAGCAAAAAGAATTGTTGCCACTACAAGTGGTATTTAAGCAAGGCCCAATTCGTCAAATAAACTAATGAAAATACCRTTACGGAAAAGTTCTCCTCTTATTAAAATTGTATTACAGAAATTAATGAAAAAGAGAACATAAGAATTACTAATGGAGAATTATCCAATCCATTAATAAATGATGGATGCGAGCTTAATTTTAGTGACTTGCATAATTGTAATTTTTATTTTAATTCCAAATAAATGTTCTAACAAGTTCTACATATATATCTTATTTTTAGCAAAGAGTGAATTAATTTTTTTTTAAATCACTAGTGAGTTAAAAAAAAATTAATTCACTCTACCGAATAAACAATTGTTTACCTTGGTTGTTATGAAGTTAATAAATACGGTTTAATACGTCAAAATTGAATAAAGTCCTTTAATTCGATTATGAAAGGCCTTCATTGATTTTTATTTCCAAAAGTCCGCGAAAAATTCTATGCCGGTAAAAAAGCTCTCTATTTTATTGATCCTACCATACGTCAAATGTCAAACCCTTATTTACATTTTAAAAATGTAAACAAATACTGGCGTTGTCATTTCAAATGAATAATAAGTACGTTTATTGAAATGACTATTTTAATAAAAAAAAATAACTTCACGGCATATTCGCACCTTGTTCACCTTGGCTTCCCCCGCAGAAAAATCAATACTAGCAACTGTCATCATGCACTTCGCCAATTTTCCTTGAAAATGAGTTAATCTTTAAAATTATGGATGCAGCTAGCGTCCCCGATACTAAAGACATCCAACAAAACAATTACGTGACTGTAATTCCTGTAGAGTATCCACGAAACCGCTTCAACAACCAAAACCCTGAGTATATGGTAGAACAGTACAGGTAAGTGAAGAATAGCCATTCCAAAAAAATAATCATGATTTTTGTTAGAACTCACGATGATTACATCCAAACGGAGGACTTGTCGTCTAGTCAGGGGGCTTTGTACTCAGTGTCACAAAGAGTCCCTACTGTAAGCGCAAGTTATTCGAGTTTGTGTGCCACCGATACAGGATATGCAACTGAGCAAACGACTTTTCCGGGAATGCAGTCCGACTGGGAAAGAGAAAGGACTGTCTCTACCACAGACACGACCAAAGATGCAAATTCAGATGTGCTAAGTGATAAACAAACAAACGGTAAGTTTTAATTCTTTTTATTCTAGCCAAAAATACAAATCATGTCTATGACTAAGCGCCCAATTATTGTATGTTCATTTATGACATAAATGGACTTAATATGAATTTGTTGATGCCCCAAGTGAGTTTTACCATTAGCACAATTAAGAAACCCAGCTCTTGTAATATTATGTGGAACATTGTATAAAGTTTTGTAGATTTTCTTCATAGTTATTGTATGTCCCAGACAAATTTATTTTTATTGTCTGAATATTGTCTGCTCAAAGGAGCACCTAAGAAGTATGTTCAGACCAGAGGTACATTATAAAACCACTTTTAGAATGCAGTTACAACTTCTTGAAAGAAGTTGAAGTTTTAAGTAGGTATTTTTAATGAATTTTTGTTTATATTTGTACCAATTATTATATTTGTTTTGTAATAGTTATTTATGTAGCAAGAGCATAATAAGAAGATTATGCCCTGAAGGAATGTGTAGAGCCCGACGTTAGGAGGGCTTTTAATTGACAATTATGCCCGTTTTATTGTATTTTGGATTGTGTGTTGCTTCTCTCAAAAAAAGAATTTAATATTTCCGGCGAATTTGGTGTAAAAATCGAGATCGCCTATTTGGTATTTTATAAAAAAGGGCTAATAAAAGTCAAATTATGCTTGCTTTTGGGTGTTTAGAAATGAGTTTATAGTTCTAAAAAAGTAATAAATTGATTATTACAATGTTCCTCCTGATGGACATACCCTGTTTGTGCATAACTTTTATAATTGTATTTGGTTCACATATACGAGTACAATAGGACCCTATACACGAGCGGAATATCCGTCGGATCTGATAAATCCGTTAAGATACCCGCTCGTGTATGGAGCGCAACCGATTTAGTCCATACGGATCAGATCTGTACAGATTTGATCCGACAGATAACTCTCTCGTGTATGGAACGGATCAAATCTCTATGTATTTGAATTAGTCCGTCCGGATTAAATCTGCCGGTCAGATCTGTACAGATTTGATCCGACTGATAATCCGCTTGTGTATGGGGCGCTATTATGTAATATGTCCAAACAATGACGCTAAAAATTAACGAGAACAGTGTGAAAAGACAAGTTTTTCTATCACAGAATTTCACACTTGATTTTTTCTACAAAACTATGGCCTACTTTCGACGGCTTCTTCCTTAATTGGTTCAATTTTGCTCCCGTTTTGTTTATTACTAGTACTCGATGTTGATTTAGTCGTATTATCAACAGAATTTCTCTTCCACCTCGTCTTCATTATAACAGTACTCATTCTCTTTTGTACGTAAGTTCTAAATCCTTTATGCCACCAAGCGTAAATGATTGGATTTATCAAACTATTAGTGAACCCTAAAATTGCTAAGGGACTTGCGATTATGATTCTCAAATTTTTGCATTTTTTGCTTTCGAGGTTTTCGCATTGATACACATAAATCAAACTCGCAACAAAATACGGAGACCACGTAATTACAAAACTTCCACTAGTGAATAAAACAACTTTGATGGCCTTCAATTTGCTCGGGGATTTAACACTGACTGAAGGTGTCGTTTTGAAAATTTTGGCGAAGAAGTTTTTTTCCACTAAATTCTCGTTGGTTTGAGGCCGGCCTCTGTACATTCGTAAATTTTTTAAATCGGTTTCCGTCACATCATTCGTTTGATTGGTCGATTTTTGAAGTCTACCGATGTTTTTAATGGCGTGGTACAAGATTATGGAGTAGAGGATTACTACTAGGATTATGGGTATTACACCAATTATGACAGTAAGCAGGACTAGATTCCGTGGGGCTAGAAGAATAAACCAACAGATTCTGCCATTGTCTGTGTCTCCGTACCACCCGAACAGTGGCATAAATCCAACGATGCATCCTTAAATTGTTTTCTAATTATTATTGCAATTGTTTGTGTTTGACTTACCTATAACCCATGTTGTAAGTATTAATATTCTTGCTCTAGTGGGGTAAATATATTGCTGGTATTGTATTCCATGGAGTATGTACAAAAATCGATCAATTGCAATCAACCCGACTGAATAAACGGAAGTTAAAGTGCTTGCCACTATCATACCTACAATAAAAGTGATAACACATTGTTTAACAGTTGACATTTCCTACGCATACCTAATTGGAGTGCACATATACTATGATCCCTGTTTTCTTTCGGGTATAATTGTCCAAAAACTACCGCTACTCCTGTGAATAAATCAGTCATTGCTACGTTTCCTAAAAATAAATAAGTCGAACGTGGTTGTGAACCTAAAAGTACAATTTATTGAATGCAAATGCAATTCATTTTGTTTACCTTTTTTCAATATTAATCCGCTTGAGATTACGACGAGGAGATTTAAAAGCATGATTATCCCTCCGATTGTTGGTATTAGTATGTCGTATAAAGTCAGCTGAGTTCTTACTGAAGTGTCTTTGTCATCAAGGGAGAGATTTGATTTTAAAAGGACGCTCATTTCGGTTGAGTTTGTACCCAATTGGGCTGAGTCGTTCATTTGATGGATGCCTGGAAAGAGGCGTTGTTGATTTATGATTAGGAGAACGAAACTTTTTTGTAGATTATGACGGTTTTATGATTTGTTTTAAGATAATTGAAAATGTGTTAAAACGTTTCGAATGTACAAAGTGGTTATAAATGATTTTCATCTAGCCAGCTGTGAATTTTCCATGTAAAATAAAAAATGTCGCTTTACGAAAATAGGGGTACCTACTTGTTTTAACTCAAAATTAAAAAATTGCCGTTTATTAAGCGTCCACTTCGAAAATAGACTTCAATTATAAACTTGTTTTCTTCCAAAGTATACATTATTATCAATTATTTTTGGAAAATAGTTGAAACAATAAAAGTTTAATTAACAACAATTTATTATTAGTGACACTAATGACAGAACTAGAGCTTTCAAAAAAAATAGAGCGGCACAAATAAAGTTACATGCAAAAATATTCCAAAGCTGGCTAGATGAGAATCATTTATAACCACTCTGTACTAACTGGGAATATCATGTGGGAGGTCATTAGATTGATTTTCTCAATATAATGTTGAGTCTTATAATTTTAAATAACGAGTTGTAAAAATAGGACAGTTTGATGTCAGAATTAAAAATAGAGATAGAGACATGTAAATTATTCTTTCGGCAGTCAACACTCTCGACAATTTGATTTAGAATAAATTTACTAAGGTTATGTCAGTCAGACAATATTGTAACAATAGTGCATATGTTTTCTAAAAGTCAAAAAGTAGGTTGAGCCAGCTTTCATACTCGGAAAGGCCGACACTGCAAACCTTCTTTCTTTTTAGTAAATTTCATGTTCAGAAAAATTATAATTTCATCACCTGCTTTGAAAATTAGTGTTCGAACACCCCCTGGATGGGCGACTTTCACTTCCAAGAATCGCAAGTTTGTAGTTTTTTATACTTAGTTAATCAAAGGAACCAAATTACTAAACGCGAATCAGGGTATCAATCCACATGCTAGAAATACAAACGATGCGGTTCTCACTAAGATATTTTATTTTTATTCACATACACCTTGTTTTGGGAAATTCACACACCAGTGTTGTTTGGCTGGCTCGATGTAAAGCACAGAAAAATTGTATATTTTTTAAATAACGTCGATTTTATTACTAAAAATTACAAAGTTATGACTTCATAAAATAATTTAGGTGTTCTATTTCTGTTTTTTGCATTATTACGTTCACGTAAAAAGTTTGGTAGAAGAAATGTTATCAGTGAAATTAAAGTTTGTTATAATTTCAAATTCACTTGTTATAAATTTGAAACGAATTTTGTAAACTGATTTCGTACACTAATCCATTTTGTAGTAAAGTTGGAGTAAAGTTGAAACTATTTACTTTTTGTCAGTTGTAATTCAATTAGCAATTAACAGGAAATAAGTTTTAATAATAGTTTTTTTTTGTACATAAAACATGATCTACAGAGGTCGACTTTTTGACTCATATTTATGATTTTTAACTAGGTACAGTGACCGACAGTCACCAATTTTCATGACAGACGAAATTCACTGTGCGTCACTGTACAATAAAATTAGTTTTAAATCACGGATCAAACTAATTTTTGAGTTTTATTTCTTTTGTTTATTTTTGAAGTTTATATCATTATTTCAACACAGAACCTTTCTTAATTATTTATAGAAACACAAATCTTGTTCTAGAAAATATAAACAAATTTTTAAACACAAAAATAGAATTCCTTTTATTTAGCTTTAAATTTATTGAGTTTAAAAAACTTTACATTTTAATATACTTTGTAAAATCTCGTGAGAGTTTTAGATGTACGAGTACGTTTTAGAAAACTACGATACCTTGAATTTGAGAATTCATCTCATACGTTTACTATACGGGGTGCTGCATTTTGGATGTCCGAATAGGGGAACTTCGAAACTAAGGTAAGAAAAAAAAAAGTTTTTTAAAAATGTCATAGCTACCTATGATTCTCATTTAAAAAAAATACAAGTTTATCTTATTACGACTAAACAAATCACTGAAAAAAAAAGTCAACTACGTAAAAAAGTGCCTGTATAATGTTTTTATTTCAAATCCTTGTCTTCTATAATAACGAAGATATGATTTCTTTTTTAGATTTCGCTAAAATGTCAACTTTTGTCTATAAGTCGAAAACAAAAGACGATAGCGGGATGCAGTTTTAATCAATATTATTTTCTCAAAAAATGAGCCCCAGAATGTATCACTCGTTTTTTGTTAAACCTCTTAGTTTCGGAAATTCCCTATTCGGACATCTAAAATGCAGCACCCTGTATGTACACATACATACCTACCTGACCTACTAGAAAAGTAATTTCCTTGACCATACCCACGGTCTCTATAAAATTCTTTAAAATTTTAATGAACCCACTATTTTTAAACGTTTCCAAATCATCTTTCTCCTAAAATATCAACCCATTGTTAATTTCCAAAACAAATAGTGCATAAAACCATACAAATATTGTGACAATATAAACAAATACACTTTTTGGTCTATTCACACAATCACTTAATCACTAACTATTGGAACACTTACTTTATTCGTGTACAGTCTTTTTAAATAAATTCATTTTTCCGGAAACATTCTTCCTGTACAATTGGTTTTTTATCGCTGAAGATTAGAGCAGGGGTTCCCTCTTTACAAACAAATTCCCAGTTGTGACTCTAAAATCCTTGATTCACCCAGCCTTGAACTTAACTGAATTTCCATGTAGTTTCAAATTATGAATAAAACATGAAATACGTTATGCTTGTTTAGCTTTTGGTTAAAACTGTAATGCGGACTTCATAATTGAGGAAACTGTCATGCTAGTATGTACCTTACGTGATTCATAGATTAAGCACTTCCTAATGTTTTTAAACGACTAATTCGTGGAAGACATCTTTTATCGAAAATAAGTACAAAACTGACACACTTTGTGTAGTTAGTAGTAGTGTTTAGAAACGGTATCGGTAGTAGAATGATGTTCATTGATTCATTGTTGGAAAATCCAGGATAGTTTACTACTAAAAATACAACCAATAAGATTCACACACTAATAAATTTATAAATCTTTTCTTATAAAATAACTACACATTACAGGTGGACTAAAAATCGACTGTTGGATTCACTGTTTCATGTCAGTAGAACTTTAAATACGTTCTTGAATGATGCAAATCGAAAACAAGTATTTATGGAGTCGGTCACCGGAGTGTTCGTTTTCATCGACTTCAAGCTAAATACTAATGATTGATGACATTTGCTACAATTTACAGTTCTGTTATTTCGTATAAATTTATTATTGTATCGATTGTCGGGGATTGGATCTAAGGTGAAGTAGGTTATCTTTGTTGGCTTTTTTTATTAGGCAGCATATGTTTCAGAACAATTAAGGGAAAAAGAGGGCGGAATGTGGAATTGATTAATAAAGTTTATCTTTTATCATATGTTTGTTTTATGTGAAAAAAAGACAATTTCGCTTCATGTACAGTTGGAGACAAAATACTTTGGTCGTCACTTTTCTGACACTTTAATATAATTGAAGCTTTAACGTTAAAATGAATGACAATTTCAAATTAATGACAGCTATTATACATATTTTCCTATCAAAAATATGTACATACAACTTGTCAACTATGATTGACAGTAGCTAAAAATAAGGTTAACAGTCCTAAAGCATGGTTTACAATTTAATGTCACTCAAATGACGTTGACGACCAAAGTATTTTGTCTCCAACTGTACAACGTAGTCGCGCTAATGTTTTTTTTTTTAATAAATGTCAATCACTAAATCAAAAAACTAAATATTGTTTTGTGATAAAAAACAAACTAAACTGTCACTCAAATGTCAGAGTGATTTCTTGGCAAACGAAATTTTCTATCTTGTAATGCGACCCAACTTTCGGAAGTCTATAAATTTTTATTGCTTTGTTATTCACTCTTCAGCCAAAATTTATTTTATAAACAGTTTATACAATAAAACAACAACCCGGTTTATTATTGGAATAGTGAATTTCTGACGCTATACTTAGCAAAAATGCACCTTTTAATTGATTTTAAGGTGTTTCAAAATGTTATTTACAAAGTCAACAGGATTAAAATTTCATATTTTAGTGAATAAAGAGTGACGAATAAAATTGTACCTAATAATGTTTAGGAAGAGATAAAATAGTTGTTTGAAATCGACTTAGGTAAACATAAAGCTGATGGTTATGATTGTTTATTGTGACCTGTAGTTGTGATTATTAATTGATTAGTGAGTTACATTATCCTGATTTTTATCATAAATAATACAACGTGGAGTTTAACATTTTGTTTTTTAATTCTTATTCCCAACTTGTTCATTTGTGACGATTATTATTTTATTATATTAAAAAATGGCTCTAAAAAATGAAATTCCAAAATCCATATACTTACATACTCAAATTTTTAACAGTTTGTCATTAACTCATTATTCATCTGGAAAATTCCAGTTTTCCACTAATTAATCTGCGTTGTAGTAAAGAGTCAAATTAATTATCACAATAAAAACAATACAAACAAAAACCATATTGGCATATTTATCCAAGTAAATGATGAACAATGAAAGACATTCGTTGTTATAAATAATGGTAAACAATTTTTTATTTGTAGATTCTAACACGACAGCTTCGGTTCCAAGCTCGATCGTGAGCGCTTCAACAATAGCCAACACATGCGAACAATTGCAGGGTCCTGTTATACCGACTTGCGTTTATCTCCACAGTAACGTGGCTATATTGATGGAAATCGAGGATACCCCTTCAGCCACTTGCGATTTGCTATGTCAAGCGATCATCAATAGCGACGAGCTCGGATTAAACAAGCAGCTGGCATCACAAGTGTTTACTTTGTGGATGACGAGTCCACTTTTAGGTGTTTGTGATGTTCCAAAAAAGAGCATTTTGCAATTAAGCCTTTTTAGAGCTTCAGCTGAAGCCGACGCATAAGCCGTATGAAATAAGGCAAAGTTGGCGCGTTTTGGTGGGTCAATACAGTCATGTAACGAGTAGTAGGCAACAAAGAGACGAACCGAAAATTATGTTCCAGAGGAATATTTTTTTCCCGCAGCATCTAGAGGAAAAAATCAAGTACTGTTTCACTTAAACTGTATTCCCTGTCTACAGGCATGTTTTTTCAATAGGGACCAAAAAATTTTAGAGCTTTTGTATGAAGAAGCAAGACATAATATCCTCGAAGGACGATATCCGTGCGAGGTAGCACACTATATTATGTTGGGCGGTATCCAAGCCCGAGTCGAGTTAGGGCCCTACAACCCCCAAGTCCATTCGACTCACTACTTTAGGGAGGAACAATCGAAATATTTGCCTATTCATGTGCGGAAAAGCTCGACATGGACTTGGTTACCTATAAGTTCCAAAAATTCGGCAGAAGTCCGACTTCTGGAACAGTTCAAAAGAATCCCAAATTCAGCCACTAATCGAAAGTTGATGAAAAAATATTTAGAGTTTTGTTGGTCATTGCCTTTTTATGGGTAAGTTTTTACTTTTAGAAAATTCTATTTTTGGCCTTAGATCTGCCTTTTTTGAGGGACAAGTCGAACAACCTGTGCGTGGCTTAACGTCACTTATTACGTTCCAAGACATTCCAGTCCTTGTAGCTATTAATTCTAAAGGTGTTTATATAATAGATGATACTCAATGTGTATGTATTTATTTTTGTTACGTTGGTACTAGTGTTTTGTCCAGTCGTTATTATTAGGTTTACGATTTGAGGAACTCAGTTGGGAGTATGCAAGACCGTCAAAGGAGGAAGATCCAAATTGTCTTCCTTGTCTTTTTATCCAGTTTATGGTAGTCGAAAATGGAGCAAGAGTTTCGAAAATACTACAAGTTTTTTCAAGACAGGCTAGTCTTATGGATACACTCATAACTGGGTTTGTAAATCAAATCAAATCGAAAACGAACGATGAAACTGATAAGACGTATGAACAGCAAATAGGTAATGATAACGGTATGCATACATTTTTTTCGGTCTCCATTGTAAATGTTACTTGTTGCAGAGACTCATTCTTCATTAACAGTTGGAACCACTCACCACGCACCGTCTCTTCCTTCACTCACCAATAAACTAAGCAAATTAACTTTGGCGACTTTTGACGAAGAAGGTCATTGTATTGGTCAAATGGGTTCTTGGTCTTTTAGTTATTAATATTTTTTTAATTTTGACGAATACTCGACAGCTATGGATCTCATAATGTAGGCAGCTTTATTTTTTTTAATATACATTATCCAAATGTTTCAATCAGTGGTTTTAGTTGTGCATTCAAATACCTGACCACAGCTTCATATCTAAAGAAAGCGATATGTAAAAAGACTTTTTACGTAAGTAAGTACATACCTGAAAACTGATAAATCACGATGACGAGCCAATCGAATTTCGAAACACTGTAAAAGAAATGTCAAGTCATTAACTTCCTGAAAATATTTTGTTTCTTCTTCTTCTGTGACCGTGTCTTGATTGATGTTGTACCATTGTTGTCTGTCTTTTAAATACTGCGTCCACTAGGAAAAAAATCTATTAAAAATGTTACAAAAGCAAATAAAAAAATTACGTGTTCGAATTGTTTTTGAATACAGATAGCCCGATTAAGCAACAACTGTTTAAAATCATTGAGACATTTCTCCTTAATTTTGTACGCCTCAACCGGAGTTATGCTTTCTGGATTACCTAACAAAGTCAAATATGGTATTAAGTACTCAACACCTGCATCTTCAATTTCCCTTTCTTTATATTCCTGTTCTTGCTTTTCCTACAATTTCGAATTTTAAGCATCAGAAATGCCAAACCTAAACCTGACTTTTTCCAACATTCCCTGTCGATACTCTTCGTTTTGTTCAATATTAAAAAGCGAGACGTCCAGCTTCGGGAATGCCATTTCGTGGTCTCTTAGAGTCAAAAACTCTGCAACCTAACAAAACCAAGTTTGTATGTCACATTGTGTTTCATTCAAAAACCTGATCCTCGATTTCGCGAATCCGCGACAAGGATTTTTCTTCTTCTTTCAACATTTTCTGAAATAATAAGAACAAGTCCAATTGTGTGGGGGGTTTCGCTCCGATTTCGGCGACATAACCCCAAGTGAGTTCGGGTGTAAACTTCATTCCTTCCCCAGATTCTGCAATTGAAGGCTTATTGAAGTTCCTGGTCGAGCAAGTGACTCTTCCTTCTCCAAAATGATACTTTAAAAGAATCTGTCTATCAACAATTGCGAATTCTCGGGTCGCGATATCTTGACTAGCGGGAACCCTATGGTTCCTTTCGAATTTTTCAATTATTCTCTGAAATAAAATTGACAAATAGACAAAAAATCAAGTCAGTTAACCAACTAAAATCAATTTTCGGTGACTTTCAGTAAATCCAGGTGGAGGATGACCTTTACGGGCGTAGAACACTTCGCGAAAATAAAACCTAAAACCTAAGTTTAGCTGCTTTTTTTCTTTTTCGCGACTCACAAGTCGTCTCGGTCTATATAATATTCAACCATGTGTTCTCTCTCGAATTCTATTTTTTCCAAACCGTCATAACGTGCCTTGTGGTTGAATTTAATTATTCTTTTATTGGAGTCGGTGTCTTTGTTTGAGTAAGTGTGCTCTAAACATATACTTAAATTTTTTATAACACTTAAAAATACTATGTGAGTACCGAATACGGCATCTTCTCGCCCAGGACCAAAGTATTCCGTCACTAAATCACTTTTCAAATCATAGATAATTTTTTTTAATTTGTCTTGCCTGTTCTCGTAGATTTGCTCAACTGTGATACATTCAGTACAGTCAAAGTCTTTGTATCTCATAATTTTGGTTAAAAGACCGTCATACTGAATATAAGGGGCGTATTCTTCGATTAGAGTTTTTTTGTACCAAGTGCTGATCATACCTTCGGGGTATTTTTGTTTTAAAGCTGGAATCAGCAAAAATTATGAATACCAAATTTAAATTTTTGTATCATCAACCTTTGTGCGGTATAGATATTTTCATACTCCAAGATATCGGCATGTCTAAATGTTTTTCTTCCATTATTTTTGCTAAAGCGGCTTCTTCATCGTCCATATTTAAATTTTCAACGGTCACCCTCCATTGTGTTGGCTCTCCAATCAACATATGTTCCCATTTTTCAACATCGTGCAAATTGTAGTCAATTTTACCCAACCCCTCCTTGCAATCTTGCATATTGACCTATTATAAAAACATACAGGGAAAAAAGCAATAACATTGATCCGTCATACCCAATAATTCAAATGATTCCAAACACTTTCGATACCACTATACAGCGAACTATCAACCGTATGTGCATATCCAGTACTCGGCTCAACGA